AAACTACTCTTGGTTCAAAGTATAAATATTGCCAACTGCGACATAAATATTCTCTGTGATCAATAACTCGAACCCAATCGTTTTGATCCATAGATACCTTTCAGTAAATATATAATAATATAATAATTAAAATTATTCACGTTTATAATAATTAACTATTTGATATTTTTTATTCAACTTACTTCTATATAGTAAGAATATGATCGTAAATCTTTATCCCATAGTAACATCTTGATATAATTGATAATACACTGAGTTCCTAATTTGATTAAAATACCATGTTCTTGAGATTCGGTGATGGTGTGCCTCGTATACCTAATAAAAGAGGACATGTTATTTACATAAATAATTCAAAAATTATATTTATTAATTTACCCGCGTTCCAGATCGTAGTTGCTTGTATCTCCATCTAATAAATAACTACGCATTTCGCCCTGTAGAACTTGAGCCCCATGTACAGCATGGGCAACATTTTCATCTACAAGCAATCGACCTCTGTAAGTAAGATCAGAATCTCGTATTTGTATTCTTGTAGCAATTGCATCTAAAAGTACGTTTGGAGCAACTAATCCGGTTGGTCGAACAATATTTAACAGATCCATAACAGGAATCAAGGTTAATCGTACCTTATCTATAAAATTACTTGAATTACTTTGATGGAAAATTCTAATATATTTATATAAATGATTTTATTTTTTACTTTCTTATTTGTGTTGTATATTTGTTTATTTATTATATTTTCCTACCTAAAACACTTTTGTCATCAGTATCAGCATTTGCTTTTACCCATGCTTGTACAGCTAGAAAGATATCAATCTCTGGTGCATAAAAGGAATCTCTTGAAACTAACTCATTTAAAGCAGCAGCACTTAACTGTAAAAAGCTCTCATGCTGTATCACTTCACAAGCATGTTTATCCATATAATCTTGACAAACCTAGAATAGAATTCTTCTATGTTCAAATATTCTTTAGGATATCATTTTGACATCATGCTCACACCTTTGTAAGAAATTCTATTCGATAAAGAAGTGCTGCATCAAATATGAGACAGGCATTTTTTATATTTAATATTTCTTTTAAATAATCTGATATAGAGGTTTCCAATTCTGAAAAGCCATAAAGATGAGCTAATCCAAGAATATCCAAAACCACCTAAAAATAATAGAAGATTAAAAACATTTGTTTATATTAAAAAGATTAAAATTAAATAAAAAAGAAAAATAATAAATACCTCCTCACGTCTGTCTGTTAATGACATACGGCCTGTATATATGTATTCAAATAAACCCTTGAACGCAGGCAAATTAGCATCTTTTAATTCAATTTCACGCTGTGTTGATTCTTTTAGTCCTCCAAACAACAGAGCTCTAAAATATTGACTACGCGCAGCTAATATGATTTTATGACCACTAAATCTTTGTCCACCAACAATTAAAGTTATGTCTGAATAATCATCAGAAAGACAAAGAGCACCAATATCTTCGGAAAGGTAACTAATGTGTTCAATATCACCAGACAATGGATTTAAACGGTGATGAGAACTCATTTTTATTACTTTCCAATTTATTTACTCTGAAAATACTCTGAAAGCAAGTTCAACTGAGTTATTATATTTTTTGTTCAAGTTTTTATCTAATAATGTAGATCATATCATAGTTTGAAAACTTAAATATATTAAAGAATATGTTCCATTAGAGATTTATATACTCCACATAACAGTGAAATAGTGAAAGTATAGACGTTCCGAAAATAATTAACAATTACTATAGACAGCAAAAATAAGGTTAACGTTCAGTTTTCTATATAAACTTTCTTTTCAATTCACTTACATTCTTACATTCTCTTATAGTTTCATTTGTACACCGTACACGACGGTGTTACGAACTTTCGCTAATGAGAGCTTGTTTAAATTTAAATAAATCTTGAGTGCGTCACAATGACATTAAAATAATGATTTTTTCACCTCGTATATAAATTATATCCTCTAACAATGAATTTCCATCAATTCCTATCACAATATAAATATCATAAACTAACAAAACTAAGAAGTGAAAATCGCGTACTTACCATATACAGTGTCCCTTTATATCAAGGATGCTAAATCGATGCCCGCGAGTACTCTAGTAATACTCCCCTCACGAGAAGTTACTCTCTCCATGCTACTTTTACCTGGTGATTGAACACTACATAGAACTGCTTATATACACAGCTCCGGCAGTTCCTTAAGTAGTGGTAATGGGGGGAACGCTGTTCCATGTTACTAGCGTGAGGGGAACAAGTTAAATAGACACTTCTGATCTAAAATATTTCATATTACACACTCTGCCGTTAGAGAGCACGCGAGTTGCAATTTCTCGGTGTTTGAGATTCACAGGCTATTTATTGTACTTTTAATGGTAAAAACGAATGAACATTGTTAAAGAGTATTGCGCTTGATCGAGTGTTTGGTGTAATTAATTGCAATTGTACCTCCACTTTTTTTTAAAATACGAATGCTGAAGAGGATAATAAATATAATTTTGAAAATATTTTTTTGAAAATATATCGACCATCATGACAAAAGGTATTCTTTCATTCGATTTATGATCACAATGTAAATACAAACTCAATAGACCAAATGGTTTATTTCTATTATTATTAGATGGTTGTAAATGAAAGTACACGTTATTTATGTATTAAACAAATTGTTTTATGTTATAACACGAAAGGATTACTTAAAACGATATTTTTATCAACATAAATGCACTGATCGTATTTTGTGTTGTTTATGAGCAATATCACTTTAATTTTCAGTGTAATTAAAAAGTTTTGAATAAATTACTGAATAAAACTACAGATACTCATGTATAATTATTATAAATTCATTCATGTTATCTTTAATATTCTTATCTTCATTGACATGAATTCTATATATCTATATGTTATATATTAATTCAAGAATTATTAGGAATAGAATTTTAATAAATATGTATAATGATTAATAAAACTTATTTATTTAGACGAAACCCTGGAAAAGAAATCAATAGAAAATAATGATACTGATAAAAAAGCTGCATCTGAATCGGGGCCAGATCCATCAGCCCCTGTAACAAGAAGAGGAGTATTAACATCGTTTTTGACTGGTAAACCAATGGAAATACCAGAACAGGATATTGTAATAATTATTTCATCTCTATTGTAGTTATAATTGTATTTATTAGAGGAGTAGCAATATTGTTAATTATATAATTTTCTGTTTCAATAGCTAGGTAAATGTAGATTTGTATCAGAGTTTGAAAAGTTAAACCGCATAGGAGAAGGTACATATGGAATTGTTTATCGAGCAAGAGACACTAAAAATGACAAAATTGTAGCTTTAAAGAAAGTACGAATGGAACATGAAAAAGATGGTTTACCTGTTAGCGGTCTCAGGGAAATATCTGTTCTCTTATCTTGTCGTCATGAAAATATTGTACATTTAAGAGAAGTGGTAGTAGGAAGGAGTCTAGAAAGCATATTCCTTGCTATGGAATATTGTGAACAAGACTTAGCAAGTTTATTAGACAATATGCAAACTCCATTTTCAGAAAGTCAAGTTAAATGTATTGTTTTACAAGTACTGAAAGGTTTGCGGTATTTGCACCATAATTTCATTGTGCATAGAGACTTGAAAGTCTCTAATCTTCTTATGACAGACAAAGGATGTGTAAAAATTGCTGACTTTGGATTGGCTAGGTGGTTTGGTTTACCTTTAAAACCAATGACACCTAGAGTGGTAACATTATGGTATAGGGCACCAGAGTTACTATTACAAGCAAAAACTCAAACAACTTCTGTGGATATGTGGGCTGCTGGTTGTATTTTAGGTATAACATTTACATTATTTTCTTGTTATGTAATATCATAATATTATATTTAATTTTATTTTTTACATCAGGTGAATTACTTGGACATCGACCTTTATTACCTGGACGATCAGAAATTGCACAACTAGAATTAATAGTTGATTTATTGGGTACACCAAGTGAAGCAATTTGGCCTGAATTTAATACTCTTCCAGCGTTGCAAAACTTTACACTGAAACAGCAACCATACAATAATTTGAAACAAAGGTTTCCATGGTTAAGTGCTGCTGGTTTAAGGTTATTAAACTTTTTATTTATGTACGATCCAAAGAAAAGAGCTACTGCTGAAGAATGTTTACAAAGTAGCTACTTCAAAGAAGCTCCCTTACGTAAGTAATATTGAATTATCTAAGTCTTACAGTCTTTTAATATATTAACTACAAATCATTAATAATCATTCAATTTAATTATGTTCATAGCATGTGATCCTAAGTTGATGCCTACATTCCCGCAACATAGAAATATGAAAAAGGCTGCTCCTCCAAAGGAAACCAGAGAACCAGAAGCAACTGTTACAGACCAGACAAATAACTTACCTGCAATTTCTGATCTTGTAGGTTTATTACACATTCTTTTGTATTTAACAGTTTATGCGCAGATTGATATTAAAGTATATATTTTTTTCAGCTTGGATCACTCGTTAAAAAAAGAAGAGTGGAATAAGTTATAGATATCAATACATACATAACATGGAATCCAGTTCAAACACCCTTTCATTCCTCGTTATAATTTGTAACCTTATCTTAGGATGTATGATCTTATTCACAAAACAATCTTTTTAATAAACAAACTTTATTACTGGATGCATACAAAAAATTATAAAACAAATGTGTTTGTTGTTACAAGAAAACACGCATTCGTGAAAACAAAATGTGCATACGTTAATAAATACGTTATGCGAAGTGTGACTTCATTATGTAATATGAAACTTTTGACAAATTTTATAATTTCGATAATAATTTGTACAAACGTAAGTGTTAAAACGAGTACGTGCATACAATTAACATTGAGTATATTTGACGTGATTAACAAATTCTCATTTTTCATGCAATCTTGATTGTATAGATAGTATTACAATCCTACATCTTAAGTTTTCACGTTTTTTTTGGCAATTTCAGTACTGTCGTAGCGTTTCTTGTATTCACCATTCGGATCGTATTTTGTCGTAAGTCGTTCCCAATCTCTTGGTCTCTTAGTTCTGAGATGATTTATTACTTTTTCTGCAATATCTTTTTGTTTCTCATTGCATTTACTGCAACCCGTGGCTAAAGCGTCTGGTAATGTCTCTGAAATTACACATGTGTTACTTCATTAATATTATTTTCAAAAATTTTAAATAAAATAAAAATTCATAACAAATAAATAAGACTTACGAAAAATAAATAAAATATTTTGTAAATAAAGCAAACAGTATTTTATTGCTATTCTAATAATTAACAATTATTTTATTCATTAATTATTGTACAATTAAATAATAAATAACTTATAGGTATATTTATTAACATTTTTGTATAGAATAAATACTTATATATAATAAATTTTGATATATAATATATATAAAAACATAATAATAGTAATAAATGTGTTTTGTATACAGATTCAGTTTTGCAAACAATGTTTAAAATAGTATTTCAACTTTTTTTTAATCATTGGATGTTTTAAATACTTTATCAAGATGATTATTATATAAAAATGATGATTTTTATTTTAATTTATAAGTTAATTTTAATTAAAAGATTTGATTTTATTAATAGCATAATTTAATGTTGAAGCAACTCATACAGTTTCTATGGTAAGTGTCTAACAGTTATTAGATGAATTTTCAAACTTGATTTTCTCGAAAATAAACCTTGATATGGAAAAATTGTATTTTCTCCTTCCTATTGACTTTTATATTAGAATTCTATATAATAGAAAAAGTTTCTTGCTCTCAAAAAGTAAATTAATTTCGTATCTTTAAAAATGCTTGTCTCCGACTTCATTACTGATATTATCGTTTAAAACTGTTGTTCAGTTTTTCTCTTTGTAATCGTTGTTTCGAAGAATCAATTATCATTTATTTATTGCTTGTGTAAATTAATTTTCATAATCATGTGTAATTTGTCACAGTAAATTTGGTTACGCAGAAAATAATTATTCGTTACTTGTTAGTTAAATTACGGGGACGTAGATGATATCTAAAGGAGTTCGATGCACTCTAAACGAGAAAGTTCAAAGCAACTTACGTAATAAAGAAAGAAAGAAAGAAAGAAAGAGAGTGAATGTGTGTGAGGTGAACTCTTTCGTAATATCGTTGCAGATGCATTAAAGTTTTCAGATGAAAACAATCTTTCTTTTTTATCATGCGTCTGGAGGAAGTTGTTATGCTATACATTAACTAAATTAAAGTTTCCTTGCTTTCTTTCGTTAACAACATGTAGAGTTTGAAACCAAATAAATAGAAATTTATTTCTCTTATTATAAAGATATCTTTCGCTAAATAATTAAAACCTATAATAGACTGCAGATGCATAAGCAAATTAAAAAATAATATAATTTTCGTTTTCTTTTATTTTTATTACTTGCATGGTTTTGTAATAACATAAATTCCGTTCTATGACAAAAATAAGTAAACCAAAAATAAAAAAATTCTCTGTTACACGTTTAAATAGTTTTTAGAAGAAATTAATTCATTATTTAAAAGATATTAACATAGCATGACACAGTAATATTTTAGGCATTGATTTTCTACGTATTATATAATTTTTAATTGTTTCTTTCAAATATTTTGAAATAGTACATCTTCACAAAATTTTAGAAAGAATAAAATAAAATTATAAAAAATATTGTATCTTTCGGTTGTATGTTGTGAAATATGCACTGCCAGTAATGTTTTTATGAAATCGAAAATTTCATTTTATACAGGAATGTTTGTAGGTGATTATAAGTGTACATAATATGAAAAAGTTGTACGAATATTTTTAATCACAACAATTGTTATTTTTCGGTTGTAATATGATTGGAACTAAATAAAATGTTGTTCCTTCATCGAAGAATTTGTCCAGTTGAAAACATACTACAGATCTTAGTGAAGTTTTGCATTATAATAATTATTTGTAGTCTTCATTTTCTTCTTTCGGGTATTGAAACTAATTTAAGTTACAAATTGTTTTTGGAAGATATTATCTGATAAAAACGAATCTTACGTATGTTATTTATATATAATTAAGGTAAAGTATTTAAGTGTTTTTTTATATAGCACAAAAATAAAATTGTTTATAAAATGATCATATACAATGACAATTATTAGCTATCAATTTGAAAATTTCTCATTAGGTAGGAATACCCTGTATATGTAATAACTGTAATGGATGTAATTTTTAAATACGTATTTATTATTCTTTAAATCTTTCTAACGACATTTTTACAACCTCGATTATATATGTAGTTGTATTATTGAAAATTGTTTTTTAATTATGCATTTACACACTAAAAATATTTTAAATTGGGCTGCGGATGGCTCTAAAAACTTATACTTGTGCAGAGTAATTCCCATGCGGAGGAAACGAGTAAATATTTAATTTTACTCTTAAATAATATAAAGTATTTTATGTAAAAGGATAAAATTCATTGTTTGCTTATACCATTCAATAAATAATAAGTTTAACAAATCACAGATTTTTCGCGTTCCAATTAATTTCGTATAGCACGGAAATGCAATTGCTTATTAGACTGTGAAGTTTTAAACGAAATCACGTTATGTAATTTCATTAAATTTTTGTTAATATTTCACTTTATTACGTTCCACATAAATGTCTTTTGATTTATGCAAAATAAAGTATCACGTGTATCATTAGATTTGTGTCAGAAGTTAACAATAATATAACTTTTGGCTGAGGAAACGAATCCAAATTCCGAAGAACTATTTAATCCCGTTTAAAATAAATATGACTCAAAATAGAATTGTAAAAAGTAAATTATTTTTCCTGGCAAGGTTGCAACAGCGATGCAAATCCCGCGGTTATAATAACAAAAAGAGATCATAAAAATGAAATTATTTAATGTTCTGAAGTACGAAATACTTCTTAAAACATTTAACACTTTTTTGGGGGGGAGGGGGGTTATATAGATAAAAGGAAGTATTTTATTAGGAATTCGTAAGTAAATACTCGGTTTTGTATACGCACAGTTCCTATTTATTGAATCTATCGAATACTTAAAATTCATATGCATAACAATTATTATTTACCAAAAATTGAACTTAATTAGAAAAGTTTAAAAGTTATTTCAAATACCATTCGCTTGTTTTAAAATTGTCCAACATTTACCGTCTAACACTAGTAAAAGATTATGAAGTTTAAGATTAAGGAATCTAACATTCGTTTCTACTTCTACTTACTGACTACAAGCATTGACTCATTTGTTATGCATAGAATCTATTGTTTGTGATGTGTTCGACTCGAAAATCGCTCGTTCTAATACTCACTTTTCAGTTCCCGGCCTTCGTTGGTGCACGGACCCTCTCCCAGCATGCATTTGATGTAATTGGTGAGGACACGTCCGTTCTGGAGGATCTTCTCAATGTCGATGTCATCGTACTTGCTCGGATATGTGTCAGCGCTTACGACAGCGATTACAAGCAGAGCGGCCAGTAAAAGTGAAACTTTCATGTTGCCTCCGCAAACGCGATTCTTATACCGGAAAAACCTGAGCTGGTCTACGAGGAACACGGATGAAATGCTTGAACAGATCCGGACACGCCGGTCGTTTCACAGAAATTTTACAATGAAGTCGACGGTTTGCCACTGCTCGTGAAATCCGCTCTTCGCAACTGTTCGTGCAAGCTTCCGAATTATATAGCTGACCCGTGAAGGACGTTGGGGGGAGTGGATGAACGTTTTACCTGCCCCCCATGAACGGTGAACACATTAGACGTCGCGGAAAGATGAGGAAAATTGTCATTTAGTCGTGTAAGTTGTTACATTTCGAATAGGGTAATCCGAGTGAGATGGCTCGATTTCATTTGCATTATCAAATATCTATATTTTCAACTGTTTATATAATAACTATTCTTTTTATATGTATTTGGTTTCATAAATATATTTTCTTTTCGTTAGCTATTAGTATATTAATAGTTCTTCTAAAAAAATGGGCCATTTCTCCGTTGACTTACCCTAAGCCGACTAAATGTTTTGTCCGTGACTATGCAAATAATTTTTACAATGAGAATTGCAATAAGAAAATTGATATCATATAAAAATATTTGGTAACTTACAGTCAACTCACGATAAATGTTTAGAAAATACGTTGGATCTAATAAAATATAAAAATTTCGAAGTTTATTATCTAAACAAATGATGGGAGTAAATGTGTTAATATCTATTAACTGAAATTTGTTATACATATAATTATAATTATATAAAATACAATAGGATTAGTGTTAATTATTTGAATGCAGAGATATCTACCTACATACATGTTCATTAACAAAACCGGGGTAAATGTGAAATATTTATCAAGTAAATAATTATAAGCCATGACAATACATACAAATTATAGCTTGAGTTATAATACATATAAATAGCTCAATTATTCTTTTCGATTAGTTGATTTTATCGTTTTAATGCTTCTCAGGGGAGTTACACCGAGTGCAAATATAATATACGTTCAATTACGTGTCGCGTATTTCTGTCACATTTTTATCATTTTATAATCCATATAATTCTATTGAATTGAAGTGATATAGATAATAAATTTACTACCTATTTTTATTTTGTAGTTTATTGGGTATAATTATTTGACAATCATTATAAATTACAAATTAATACAATAATGACAATATCTTCCTGTTACATTGGAATTAAATCATCTATATATTTATAAAAAATTGCGACAAAAATTTCTAAGTAATTGTGGCAAGATTAAGAACTCTAACGCTACATTTAGTTTAATTTATAGAGTTACAAAAAAGAAAGAAAGAAATTTGTCTTAGCGCGATAGAAACCTTCTTTTTGAAATTTTTAAATTATTTTTGTATAATATATTAATTAATGAAATTGATTTGGAATAAAGTGTAAACCAGTCTGACTATGTTACTTGCTTTTACTGTAAGTTTGAACTTATATAACAATACGGATAGACGTCTAGCAATTTTTTCTGCCAAAAATGATGTAATAAATGCGAACTCTTTATATTCACTGATGCATTCTGAGGTTTTTTTAACCCCTCCAGATAGACAAACAATAAAAAGTTATGAAATTCAGAGAATAGATGAAAGTAGTAATTACTTGAGAAAAATTGCGCAACTTTTTCGTGTTTATTACTCTGGCAATGCAATTGTGAGAAGAAAAGATTTTAAAGGAAATATCAAACCCAAAACATATTGACAATTTTACCGGAGTAACGATAATTACAGTTACTATATAACAAGAAAGAATTTTTTTAAAAATATTATCATGATAATTATTTTATACCTAATAAAGATTTTGAACATAATGTCAATTACTATTAAAGTTGCACTAAATAAAGATGATAATTACTTGTTACCATTATTCAAAATATATTTTTTGAGTTTCGTAGATCATAAAAAGACATTAATTTTTTTCACAATAACTCTGTTCAATCTGTTATACTTTTAAAATATTCATTTTTTTTAATCTTTCACCTCTCAGAGGATTTATTATCCCTTTTTATACTATTGTTTACAATCTAATGAACATTTTTTTTAATCCTTTAAATTCAAATTCTATTCCTTTACTTTCTAAATTCTATCTGGCAAATTTGTGTAATACCCTCATCGTTGCGTCAATGAAACTTACGAATATAAGGAATGAGATTACAAATATCAATCGAAATTTTGTAAACATAAATCGCCCTTATCGTGCTGGCTTTTCAAATTCTGCTGACTTGTAAGAAACTTCGCTCACAGTATGAAAAAATGTTTATTTGCTTTACAACATCTCCTTACAAAATGGATATCACTGTTTAATCAGTTCTTTAATAACACACTTTGAATTGTCAAAGAAAGAAGAGTACAAATAAATTTTTATTTTATTTTTAATTTCTAAACAAAACAAATAGACATATATTATCGAGGATTTTTTAAAATAAAATCTTTTATTTTTATTGAAAATCTTATTGTATGTCGTGAAGTTGTTTAAATCGTGAATTTTATACTTAGTTGAATTTCAAAAGTTTGTACAAATATATTGCTGGTGCAAATATCATTTTTATATGAAAAATACATTTAAAATTATAAATAAATTTAACCCCCCGAACAATAGTTATTTTAATGAACTAAATTCACGTTGCATTGTTCATTAACAATGTTCTTATAGCAACTACCAACACGATACACACAGTAGAATGCTGCGTACGCTACTAGAATAATGTATTAATGTGTTTCGACAATGACGATTGTCGTACATTTGCTTTAGCATATACCTTGAAGCGATCTTTTCCTGAAATATAATAACTCTTTTTAATTAATTATATTTTGCATTTTGTGAGAGGCACTTCTAATTGTAAGTTATTTCTCTCTAAAGCTGTGAATATGCTACAAATTTTGTATTAAACATTTTTGACACACTCAATTTATAATTATAATAAATCGAATTTTATTTATTTCGGTTTCGTAACCCTTGATTATGAAAATATAAACTTGCACAAAAATTTAGAGTTTACTAATGATAATAAAACGCAAAGTAGAGTAACGTACTTTTAAGTGGAACGTGTTATCACGAACGTTTCGAAATTATATTTCAGTTACTCGATCCGATACTGATTCAACGAACATGTTATGCAGTGTTTACTACTAAGCAACCCTGAAATTATTCTGAAAAACATCGCACGTCATGAAACGTTCTTTGGCTGACACACTTCATTGAATCTTCTATTAGCCAGTGATTTATTACTAGCAAAGTATATTATTTATTAAAACTCAATAGTTTCTTTTCATAATAATAATAATAATAATAACAATAATAAGACAGAAATGTAATGGAAATAATGACTTACAAAAGTGAATTTTAAAATAGTATTTAATAAATAAATTATTTTTAAAATGACCTATTTGTTAAGTATCCTATTGTTTTTCTTGTAATTTTTATTATATGCTAGAACATAAATTTTTACTATAATTAGTAAATGCTAACAATAGTAAATATTTCAAAAATATTAAAAGAAGCTGTGCCTTTAAAATAGAACACCTATGATACGAAACTAATTTTATTTTCTTGGGAAACCTAAATAACGAATATCGAAATTGTAAACAATATAGTAAATATGAAAATATTAGAACAAGGTGAATGAAAAGCATGATAAAAACTGCATTTTAATACAGATTTAAATAAAAGCCGATAATACTCATTTTTCTGCTTATAAATTTAATGTATATTTCTTTCGACATTAGAGAATCATGGAGATAATTAGAATGCAAGACGTATTACTGTTTCAAAGAACTTCATTCTATCATATTGCGAAAAACCGACCATAAAAGATAGAAACTTTCTACCTTGTCCTTTGAACTTCCTGTTAGCTATAGAGAGAGAGATACTAAGCCCTGTTTACTTAAAAATATTTCTCTAGTATTTACATGAACATATAAAAGTACTAAAAGTTCCCCAGCCCTGGATTCTTAAAGTTCTTTCAAAATAAAATTGAAGTAATTACAAACTAACTATTAATATACATATATCAAAAGATACTATTTGCAATAAATATTTATTTAAAATTGAATCTGCATCTTACGGCTAAAACTATTAAACTTTTAATTCGTAGCGTTATAATATTGACATAATATTTAGAACATTAATTAAGTATATGTACTATCAACCTTCTCATAATATTTGAAGGATTAAAATAACATAAATAAAAGTACGGTTCATAATTGTTTTATTTAGAAGTCAGTAATCTAAATATGTAACAAAAGAATGTACTCCATCATTCTTACAAACATTGATTTGTTATTATTATAATTTAAGGTTAAAAATATAAGAACATGTCCCGACATGAATGTGTTAATATTCGAAACCTCGTCAGATAATTCTAATTAAATCATATTGAAATCAGTGAATTGCTTATTCCACAAACTGTAAGTCATTTATGCGTGATTTGCTTCGTTGAACAGAGTTCTTCTACTGAGTTCTTTAATGCATATATCGCCTAGCCGTGTAATATTGCACAATCGAATACCATTCGTTCGGATAATTCTGTCGCATAAACCCCATCAATATCTGTGCATGCTCCATTTGCCGAGGTGTGCAACGTCGGCAATCGTTGTTCAACGCTTCCGGTAACAATCCTGCGAAAAATTCACAAAGGTCGTTAACTTAATAATTAGTTATAAATGTGTTAGTAAATACATAAATTCAAAAGTACGAGATGAATAATAAAATTTAACTCTCACAATGAATAATAAAATTGGACTACGAATTTTTATGCATTTTGTAAAAACATACAAATACTTGAAATATGGTAAGATGAAATCTGCATCGAATTCTAATCAAATTTTTCAAGGAGAAAAATAAATTTTGATTATGAATTTGAAATGTTAGAAATTATTATTTTATTTATTATTTAATTGTAAATCTGAAAATATTCATTTTTTTCAGTTTCTACTATATATTTATATTCAGCGATACATAAAAAAAATCTTGATTTTTTTATAATACTATGATTGACAAATCTTCTTAATATTAATTTCCATATACTCTTCATTATAATTACAAATAATTATTTTTATATTTCCAAATTTTTAATACTATTCTCATTTACACAGCTACTTGTACAATTATAATATACATTATCTTATTATTAAATACATGTATGTAAATAATATAATTTTATAATAAGTTTTAATTTATAATTGATAATTATAAATACTTTAATTTTAATTTATAATTATTTCTATAATAACTTTAAAAAAATTGTTAATCTTACCCTTAACTGTTTTTCCTACAACATCACATGGTGCTCGATTCAAAATGCAACTGATTTGCCTTTCCACGTAACGTCTGTCCGACAAAAGATGTAATATATTTTGCGCTTGAATGAAAGATGCCAAAACAAGTAGGGTTACAAGAAAACCAATTTGGAGTTTCATGTTTGACTAATAAGCAATTAATTTATATATTTCTTAGAAACGAAGTGTCTAGTAGAAACGAAACTGTCTACTTTACATTTCGGAATTTGTCCTTATATTCTCTTTCCCCCCTAAAGGTGATCCTTAGAGATAAATAGGCCTGGCATTAGTCAATTATACTTTCGAACTCATTAGCTAAAAGGAATTATCGACAGATAATGAAAACGGCGATTTTGTTTCCTTAATCTTCAGTTTTACAAATGAGAGGTAGGTAATTTACAAACGGTAAAGGAAGTTAACGTTAGAACTACCGAGTATATAAGTAGGTATACACTTACTTAATTTGACTGTTTCAAATTTATTTATAAAAACTGTGGACGTTTATTAAGATTTCAATTGACTTATATTTCAGTGTAGGTACCATTGATTTAATAATTTCTTAAAAATGTACATATTTGTACCTTTTAAGTAATTGTAAAAGTAGAAATCAGGAATGGATCATTTTGACTCATCTAATAGTTCTGGGGTTAAACTTTCTTAATAATAATTCAAATATACTTGCATCATCTCTAAGATTAGAAAATTAAAGAACCTTAAGAAGAAAATAAGATCAGAGAAATTTACATTTTATATAATGAGGTTTTTCAAAATATATTCTTGTGCATAATTATTCACATTTTGTACCAAAATGTGATAAGAAACATAACCTGATTAGCCTGCAGTAAAAATAAAAATTCTAATAATAATTGGAAAATAAAAAAAATTGTTCCAGTAATTTTTTTTAATTTTGCAAACGAGTTGGTTATAACACGTTAATGATTTATTGATGGTATAGTTTTACATTTTGCATATATATAAATAGTATTCGAAGATTTCAAAACACTAGACTTTATATTTCCAAATTGTTTTTTTAATAAGTATTATGATTATTCATTTCATATATAATTTTCTTCTTGTTTCTTTCTT